CTACCTGACCTCCACCCACACTGCCTACTCTGCCTCTCCCTAGGGAATTTGGGGGACTATGTAGCCCTAGTCACACTGCTGAAAGTAGAAGTCCGTGATGGGTGCATCCCAGGCGGCATCCTCAGGGATCTGGGTGAGCCTGACCGGCTGGTCTGCTTCGGGCACAGTGCCGAGGAACCAGCCTGGGTAGGCAGCTGACTCGAAGCTGGAGGTGAGGCCCATATCCCGCCGGTAGAAGGTGAAGCTCTTGGATTCCTTGGTCCCGAGGTAAAGCTCCATGATGTTCACTGGCTGCAGAAAAGGTATGATGGATGAGACACAGGAGGGGGCAAGTGAGAGGGCAAACATGGGCAAGGGAACGGTCCTCAGAGAGGAGACAGCGCTTGTTCAACAGTGCTTCGCCAGCGTCCAAAAGCTACCTAGGCTGTGGGCAGAGTATGCTTGCCCTTCCTGGCTCAGGCTCAGGAGGCGAAGATGCTGCAGTAAGACTCACCTCAAGTTTCAGAACTGGCTCCTTCTCTGTCCCACAGGACAGACACTGACTTCCTCCCTGAACACCCAGGATGACAGGGGACAGACTGGCATCTAGTGTCCGATTTGGGACAACGCTGATCTCCTCACCTAGAGGAAAAAGGCAAGATGCAGGAACTTGCTTGTCTTTCTGTTCACTCTCCCCCAGAGAGGCCTTAAACGGATTAGAACCAGTATGAGGCATCTTGCCTTCCAACGAATGGGTAAGGCTAATCTCCTGTCACCTGGCCCAGATCATAGACCAAAGCACAGGAATACCAGGTACAACCTCCTACGCCATCCCTCTTGCTCAGGGTCAAACTTTGAGAGATTCTCTAAATTCTAAGAGATCATCCCACCCATCACTCCCTTGACTCCCAGGCCTCTTTTCTGGACCTTGTCTTATCCTGTCAGTCTCGCGTCCTGCCTTTAGCCCCTGTGGGATTTCTACAGAAGAGGATTTCTCTCTTCTCTGTACATCACCCATCACACCATGTACACATGAACATACACCTTACATCAACACATGCATATGTACATAGATATAATCACATATGTATGCATCCCTGTACATATTACACATACTCAAAACATGTATATAACCATAGGCATACATACAGACAATGCTTATGTGCATATGGTATGCACATACATACTTAAACAGTAAGCATGTTTATATATATGAGCTTATATATGCCTACATATGCATATTTATATATGCACATATAGCTATACCCTCATGTAGTGTTTACATTTGCACACAAGTACACACAATGCAGCACAAAGGGGTCTGCATGGATCTAGTACCGCATAAGGTTGCCCAAGTAAACATGTATGCCCTAGTGTGGAAAAGACCATCAAAGTATGAGGGCACAAGGAGTAAGCAAGAGGCCAGAGGGGCTCCCACTATCCAGATCTCAGAATTGAGGGTAACTAAGGATCTCGAGAGAGCAGGATGGAGGATCAGAGCCCACCCACTTGGGAATGAAGATCTATGTTAGTCTTTTGCACAGTCTGTCTCCTGAGGAGATAGAATACCCAAAATAGTCTGTGATGGAAACATAAGTCATTTGTCCTGGAAAATATCTGACCTCTACACAGAGGCTTCCC